GCAGGCGCCTAACGAACTGCTTTTTCGAAGGCAGCTAAGAGAGAATACACAACTCATTTTCAGGGCAGGAATTGGGTAAATTTTGTTGAAGGCAGCTTATTTACCTTGTGACATTCAGAAAAGGCGGGTATTTCGGGAACATGAAGTTATGAACTTTTCGGAAATTTCAGTCTCAAAAATAAGACTTGTCCCTTTGCATCAACTTTCTTCCCTAATTCACCTCCTCCATTCTACTTTCGACTCTTTTCTGCTAGCGCTAGTAGGAAGAAGTGTTTTTGGTTTATCTATTGGGGAACTTACGTAAGTGCTAAGCCCATAATTATGATATCGAATGATTATGGGCCGAGGGAGAAGGTAAGTTGATATCTCAGCTTCATTCTATCTTAGCAGGCAAGGCTCCGGAGGCCTTGCCGCTGCTGGATCGATTGATCCAGTTGATCAGGCCGGCCCCCGGTGATCTCATCGAGCAAGACAAAGGTCTCGGTCAATAGTAATTTCAAAAGTGCCGGAATTGAATGACGCTCTCGCGTCTCAACGTCAGGCACATACTGAAAGCTCAGTGATGTCCATTTTAGATAAAATGGACATCGAAACTAGACCACTAGAGATCTATAGGATGGGGAGACCGAGGGCAGCAGGCCGCGCCTGATCAAGTGTGCCTTTCCTTCGCAGCAGTTCTACTACAGTGCCCTCAAAAAAGCACCACTGCTGCGCAGCTTGCCCGGTTGTGATCAGATCTACATTCGCAGGTCTATGACCCGCGAGAAAGAGATCACGACCGGGCCCTGCGTCAGCAAGCGCGGGAGCTGAATAGCAAAGAGCACGGTGGGGGCAAGGTATTCGTAGTTTATAGAGGCGAAATTGTGAAGGCCTCAGACATTCCCAGCATCAAAGCAAGCCTGCAAAAAAACTGATTACGTGCTCAGACTCCTCCTCGGTTACTTGTCTTTTACTGAATGCTAGAAGTTTAATGAACAAACTTGTTGATTTTCATCATCTACTCCATACTCAGAAACCGGCTATGGTTTTTGTGACAGAATCATGGTTTAGTAGTGTTATTAATGATGCAGAGATTTTGAGCGATCTTCCGTACAATATTTTGCGCAATGATCGCAAAAAAAAAGAAGAGGAGGAGGGGTATGTGTATTGATCCGATATGATCTCGTTTTTCGTACTATCGAGCACAGGCACTTTGGGTCAACGAACCTGATTGCTTTTGACCTTATCTTTGGTGCCGATAACTTTACCAGATTCGTACTGCTCTACCGGCCACCCAGTCAAACGTCTGTTCTTGATGAACAACTTATTGGCATTTTGGAAAACTTAGCCACGTCTACTCGAAATATCATTTTTCTTGGCGATTTCAGTCTAAATGATGTTGACTGGACAGAAATGAAAGCAATCTCATCATCCCTCTCCGCTCGCTTTGTTTCGCTTTTTGAATGTCTGGGGCTTCCACAGCTGGTTAAAGCTCCCACAAGGGGAACGTCTATTCTAGATCTTATATTTGCTAAGAGTGAGACTGTTACTGAGATTCAAATATATCCCCCCTTGGCAAATTCTGATCATAATATAGTGTCTTTCAATTTAGCCTTGTCTACTGGTCATGATGATATACCTGAGCATTCGTCTATACGCGACTACTCTAAAGCTGACTTGAGATCCATAAAAGATGCATTGTCAAATATTGATTGGTTGAGCGTGTTTGATGGATACTCCAACATTGATGATCTTTACAATCGCTTTCTCAATATAATCCACGACTTGATTGAAAAATACGTTCCGATAAAGAAAAGACAACCTTCCTTTCTACGTTATCCTCAGCATATAAAAAATCTTTGGATGCAGAGAATTAGACTGTTTTGAGCCTTAATGATCCCCTAAACAATACAGAGTACAAAATTGTCTCTAAGGAGTTATCAAGGCATTTGAGGCGTTACTTGAAACAAAAGGAAAAGAGAATGTTCAGAAATACTGGCAAATGGAAACTTTGGGCCTATCTGAAAAGACATTTGAAAGAAAACAAATTCTTTGGTCCTTTGGAAGACTCTAATGGCAATGTATACAATGCTTCCATCTCCGAAGCTGAAGCTTTGGCAGATCAGTTTTCCTCCGTGTTCTCAGAACCTTCTGCATCATGTCCCATATTGATTAACAGATCCTTGGATTGTTGCCCTTTACCAAGGATAGACCCTTCGTCCATACGGAAACTTTTGAAAAAAGTAAGCCCAACGTTGTCTATCGCATCTGACAACATACCTCCTATCTTTTACAAGATGTTTGCTGACGAACTAGTGCCTCCATTAACTCACTTCTATAATATATCCTTGATGAATGCAGAAGTGCCTCACCTCTGGAAATCCGCCATTGTTACTCCTCTCCCCAAGACATCTCTCAATCCCAAGCTCTCTGACTATAGACCAATAAGTATACTCCCTACTCCTTGCAAAATATTAGAAAAAATAATTGTTAGAAATTCGTTGCATTGGCTTGATAAATTAAATTGTCTGCCTGAGCAACAACATGGATTTTTGCAAGGCCGATCTACCGGTACACAACTTCTTGACGTCCAATTTGACTGGACAGAAGGATTGAGTCTGAATAAGTCTATAGATGTAGTCTATTTTGACCTGAGTAAAGCATTCGACACAGTTGATCACAATCTTCTTTTGTCTAAGCTGGAGAGCTTGGGAGTGAGAGGTTCAATGCTGAGATGGTTCGCATCCAATCTTCAGGACAGAACATTCTCTGTTCGTGTACTTGACAGAATTTCTGCGGCTAGACCTTGTAAGTCTGGAGTTCCTCAAGGCAGTATTCTGTCACCGATTCTCTTTATTATTTATACCATTGACCTGCCAGCCTGTCTTATCACAGATCCACGAGTTAGAGTGGCTGCGTACGCTGATGATGTTAAAATATATATCGTCTATGACCAGCGCGACAAGGGGAGTGCTCATGCAGCATTTCGTAGCTCAATTTCTCGAATGATTGATTGGGCAGATAGATGGAACATCAAAGTAAATTACTCCAAAAGTTGTACTGTTCCCATTGGCAGAACCCCTTCCCATTCAATTGATAGCAGCTTTGATCTCGAGTGTAAATTCCTGGTCAAAGACCTGGGAGTTCTCACAGATTCTAGACTCAGATACTCGTGTCAAATTGAAGAAATTGCCTCTCGAGGAACTCGAATATTGTATGCGATAATGCGCAGTGTGCAATCTTCAGATCCTAAACTTCTTTTGAAAATCTATAAAACATTTGTTCTGCCAGTTGTGGAGTATTGCAGCTTTGTATGGAACCCTACTTTGAAAAAAGATGTTGATAAAATTGAAAAAATTCAAAGAATATTTACTAAGATTGTTTTCTATCGCGCATTTCCCAATCCGAACTACCCGTTCGCCTTGCCAAACTACACAACCAGAATTCGCAAGTTAGGTCTCAAAACTCTTTTCTACAGAAGATTGTTAGCGGATACTATTATGGCCTTCAAAGTTCTGCGAGCCGAGGTGGGTTTGAAACCCAGTAAATACTGGGTTTTCCAACCTATCAGTGAACGCAGGGCCTCTTTTAACCTAGTTGTTTCTAGGTTTGGAAGGCACAACATCTCGTTGCAACGCAACAACTTCTTTTATCGAGCAGCTTCGATCTTGAATAAACTTCCACCACCATTCTTAGCTTTAAATTCAGTGGCTCAATTGAAAACGGCGTTGAAGAAAGTAGATTTATTGCAGTTAATGGGAATTGATGATGTGAAGTAATTTTATTTTTTTAGACTTATTTTGTCATCCTTTCTTTGGCATGATCCCTGCATTCTTCCGATGCTATCAATCGGTACTTTGGCAGCATGGGCCTCAAACGGTTTCCTTTCTTGCTTTTTTGTCCTGTCTAGCTCTGTTAGTCTCATTGTACTTTCAAAAATTCACTCATCCTTCCTCGGGGCTTTAACCAGCTAGCTTCCGCCCGTAGGCTCGCTGGCCTCCACAAAAGAGGGACTTTAATTTTTGAAAGACAGTGAGAGTAACAGTTTTATTATGCTATACACCAGAGTAACAACTCTGGCCACTCCTTACCCAAAGATAATCCCAGGGACAAGTTTTGGTGCCTTAGTTTCTCTGTGCTTCCTGCAGGGTACATGCCAACTATTGGTTCATACGTGTTTTTCTCATGTGTGTTTGATTAACCATGCGATGGTGATATATTGTGTTTGTTACTAACCGCTCCGATCAGGATCAAAGAGCACTTTTTGGTGCATTTAAATAAATAAATAAATAAATAAATAATGTTACTATAGTAGTGACTAGTATGTTTATGCTGTGCAGAAGAGCCATCCCTACTGAAGAACGACTTCTTTGAATCACACAGAACAAAAAGATTTTTGGATTTTGAAAATTACAAAGATAGATTATGGTTTGGCCCTAATTTTTCAAAGCAAATGAGCGTTTATCGCTTCAGATTAGCAACTTTTTAAAATTCCGGGTACAGCCTGGGGCGCCTGGCAAACCTGAATTACGATGGTTTTATCCCGGGAAACTTGATGAGTCAGAAACAAAAAACAGCTGGTAGAAAGAGGAGAAAAAGCTGCGTCAAATGACACCCGAGCTGCTTGCCGATTGTTGTTCTGTGAGGTTTGAGTTGACCAAATATGGAATTTGATGGCATTAAATTGGTTCCAGAAAGTATAAGAAGCAAGCTAAGGAAAAGAAAAAAAATTACCTGTGTCCTATAGGGTTCTCTCTATCTACCTGCTACTTGCACTTCTTCGTAGAATAGGTACAAAAGTTTAGAAAAATAGTCGAACTTGACCATGGCAAAAAGCATGAGTCGAAGGTTTTGGTAATTTCTCGAGGGCTCATTGAAGATTATGCAATGAAATTACAACCATTAGAAAGAGAATGAAATGCTGTATCGAATGCTCCTAAGCTCTCTTGAAAATCCTGATTGCATGAAATGTGGCGTTTATTTGAAAAAAGCGACATTATTTTCGGAACGACCTATCAATTTTAAACTCTTTTAAAAACAATACTTAGCTCCTCAGCAGTCCTCATGCTACCTATAGTGTTGATGCGAATAGGTAGTTTCTGAAAGCTCTGGCACTGGTTAGAAATTCAATGGTTTAGCACAAGAAGGCCTCACCAAGTCTTCTCCCGGTCGAAGCTCGTATTCACGAGGAATGTGTACCATAGCCACTTTCATCTGCATTTGTGCTACCCGCATTCCAACACAATTTCGAGGTCCATACCCGAATGGTACAAAAGTGAGTGGATTCCGCAGTGAGCGATTTTCAGTTGTCCATCTTTACTGTAGTGGTCATAGGATCTCTAAGACACCTTCGAAGTCACCATTGTTTCAAACCTTTCGGGATCGAACTCCATCGGCGAGGAATAGTAGTCAGCACAGTAGTGAATGGCCCTTATTGGTAACGTAAATATACATCCTTTTTTCATTCTTATGCCTTTGAGGGTGATATCTTTAGTGCAGAGACAATTCGTTCTGAAAAAGGGTGTGTTAAACCGAGAAAAATCAATGGATCTATTATTTATCTACCTGACAACTGGTGGATAGATGCGAAGCATTTCGGTGGTGCACTGGTCCAGAAACTTCAACTCACTGATCGTTCCGTAGGTGACATTCATCTAGATGAAGCCATTTCGGCCATCGTAATCGCTTCGTACTAATAAAAATTGTGCATGTATGGTCAGATTTGTAACATCTACAAAGTGTTCCAAAAAGATGTGAGTACTTTTTTCATGCTCGACCATCCTTGAATGTTGGCATTTTATATTCAGTATAGTAGTTCTCACTAAGTTAAAGCGTTCCAAGATTGTTATTCGTTTATCCATATAACATCAACACAGTAAGCAGGTCGACGTTTCGGCAAGGTCGCCTTTTTCAAGACCTGGAAAGTGAGTCAGTATTCGACGCTCCAAGGGTAGACATACCTTCAGCGATACACTTCAAGTGGCTGTCCACCACTCTGACACTTAGCCAGGCCACTATATGCTAACTCGTGTGATGGAATGAGGTTCCCTTTTAAGGTCAGACTCAAATCCACACAATGATAAGAATGGGATGAGCTCACTATTGATAGCCATTTTCTCTTCCTTTCTGTTCAGTTTGGGACATTTGGACGTGATCCAGCAAGCTTCTATGGTCTTTCGTGCTGTAATGTCGGTTTCTTTCGAAAGGATAGCAACGCTAATTTAAAACTCTATGTCCTGGTGACAAAGTACACGATGTGCGCCAAGAGACACTCGCGATTTTCTCATTCCGTCCAAATGTTCGTTAATTCGTACATACAGCGGTCTTCCTGTTTCTCCAATATATTCTTCCCCACACAGTTTACAAGATATTAAGTACACTGCGCCACGACACATGCAATCTCCCGGTTTGTTAGAATTGCATATATTACAGTCTGTTTTTGAACAGGCTGGATCGTAACCTCTGTTACGCACCAGGCGCTGCTTGAGGTTTGGGGGTGGGACTTCGACAACTCTAAGCATATTTTGCAGGCCAGCTTTATGAACGCAGTTTCTAATCGCAGCGCTTAACTTATCCGATATGAATGGCATAAGGAATGACACCTTTTCGCAACTGACATCATTGAAAATTGTAGCATTATCCTTGTGACGAACGTTTGTGTTTTCGTTTTTCGACAGCAGGTAACCGTTTGCGTGTGCAATTTGGATAGCCTGTTTGGTCGATGCGGATTCTAAAGTGCTATTTGAAGACACTCTTTTTGACGTCCGCAGCATGTTTCTGATAATGCTAACAAGGGAATGGTCAGAAGTCGAAGTGGCCAATCCATACAAGCTGCATACCATTCGATGCAGCATAAAATGCTGATTTCAAATCTGTCTTCCATATCTGCAGAGCGCCTTTGTAGGCGAAGTTATGAGCAGCTTTACTGCGAAAAAGCCGTATACAAAAATTGCAAAATTAGGCACATTATTGCTTTTTCAGCTCAACTCTACGGACGGGTCATTTGAAGTGACCTAGTTGCATGTTTTGGTCCAACACTGAGCCAAGAATGGCTTTGTACGGCCAAGTTTGCGCTTTACACGCACAATTTCTTAGCAAAATAATGGCCTTCAACGGCTTATAATTTCGCCCACAAAAGTGCTCTGCAGATAAGGAAGACAGATTTAGAGTCAGCATTTTACGCTGCATCTACTGGTATGCAGCTTGTATGGATTGGCCACTTCGACTTCTGACCATTCCATTGTAAGTTTCATTTGAATTGGGTGTGCAGAAGAGCAATGTACTGTATCCCGCCTCAAGATTGATGTACCAGTCTGTCCTGTACTATACGTACTCATTAAAACACACAAATTACCATCCGACTTACTCAATTCAGAAAATCCTTCGGACTACAAAGTTCGCCCTATCATCAGTAACGTCGGTGGTCCGACACACAGGATATCCTGGTTACTCAATCTGATATTGACACAATTACTAAAACATGTCCCCGCACACTTGTCCAATACGAATGCCTTACTTAACCGTTTGAAAACTGCGCGATTCAGTGAAAATGACGTCATAGAATCCTTTGACGTCAGCTCTCTATTTACAAATGTCTCAAATTCCAATGCGTTAGAAGCCGTTTTCGAATTACTGTCCGAAAAGAGTAACAGTATCAATTTCTAGGCTTTAACATACAGCAAGTTATGGCATTGTTGAGAGAATGTTTAGAATGTTCGGTTTTCAAATGGGCGGGACAGTATTATAAACAAACTAGGGGACTCGCAATGGGTCAGCGTTTGGCACCTATTTTAGCAATAGCATTTATGTCAAAGATAGAAGAACCAATTCTCAACCGCCGACCTGTTCTTTACTACAGATACATTGATGATACTATCATCGTGTGTCCAACACAAGCGGAAATGGATCTATGCTTTGACATACTCAATGCTCAACCAACTGACATCAAATTCACAAGGGAAACACCTAAGCAGGGATGGTTGCCATTCCTCAATGTCCAGATCTGCTTATGCAGAGGAGAGTACAGAACACGCTGGTATAGAAAACCAACCAATAAGAACATACTTGTACATTACTCTTCTGCACACCCAATTCAAATGAAACTTAGCATTATCAGAAACATGCTGCGGACGTCAAAAAGAGTGTCTTCAAATAGCACTTTAGAATCCGCATCGACCAAACAGGCTATCCAAATTGCACACGCAAACGGTTACCTGCTGTCGAAAAACGAAAACACAAACGTTCGTCACAAGGATAATGCTACAATTTTCAATGATGTCAGTTGCGAAAAGGTGTCATTCCTTATGCCATTCATATCGGATAAGTTAAGCGCTGCGATTAGAAACTGCGTTCATAAAGCTGGCCTGCAAAATATGCTTAGAGTTGTCGAAGTCCCACCCCCAAACCTCAAGCAGCGCCTGGTGCGTAACAGAGGTTACGATCCAGCCTGTTCAAAAACAGACTGTAATATATGCAATTCTAACAAACCGGGAGATTGCATGTGTCGTGGCGCAGTGTACTTAATATCTTGTAAACTGTGTGGGAAAGAATATATTGGAGAAACAGGAAGACCGCAGTATGTACGAATTAACGAACATTTGGACGGAATGAGAAAATCGCGAGTGTCTCTTGGCGCACATCGTGTACTTTGCCACCAGGACATAGAGTTTTTAATTAGCGCTGCTATCCTTTCGAAAGAAACCGACATTACAGCACGAAAGACCATAGAAGCTTGTTGGATCACGTCCAAATGTCCCAAACTGAACAGAAAGGAAGAGAAAATGGCTATCAATAGTGAGCTCATCCCATTCTTATCATTGTGTGGATTTGAGTCTGACCTTAAAAGGGAACCTCATTCCATCACACGAGTTAGCATATAGTGGCCTGACTAAGTGTCAGAGTGGTGGACAGCCACTTGAAGTGTATCGCTGAAGGTATGTCTACCCTTGGAGCGTCGAATACTGACTCACTTTCCAGGTCTTGAAAAAGGCGACCTTGCCGAAACGTCGACCTGCTTACTGTATTGATGTTAGATAAACGAATAACAATCTTGGAACGCTTTAACTTAGTGAGAACTACTATACTGATGTGAGTACTGTTTGATTGCAAAAACCCTTCTGCAACACTTTCGAGAAGTTTTAGGTACCATTTTGTAGTGCTGGCTTCAACTTATATTAACATGGTGCAAATCAACAATCCCTCTTCATTATTATGGAATTACGGTAGGAACTTTGAGGAGGGTGTTTCGAGTGAATAAGGGGCATGTTTCACCTAAAATAGAAACAAACTCGAAGCTGAAAAAGAAGCTGATAATCTCACACTAGGTTAACCACAGGCGCTGATTTCGAACGCAAAACTCGCGCTTATCGTAAGGTATTTTTTCTAACTTATGCCGGATATATCACAACAACCAATCGCTGCTATTCGTCAAAAATCTGATTAGGACATTCAAAAAGCTCTACGAAAGCGCAATGATAGGTGTACCAGAACCAACATGCATGAAAACCTTGCTACCAACTTTTTAGATTTTCCTGGAATTCGTTTTCCAAATGGCCTTTTTCGCAGCGGCGCCATTTGCTGCAAGTTCCTACCGTGCTCCGGTGGCGGACCGAGGGGGGAGGGGGAGGGGAAGGGGGGCGCGGCGTCAGCTATGCCCCCTTTTTCCAGATTTTAGGGGATAGGGACCCGCAAAAATCTTGAGAAGCACCCCCAAAATTTTTTCGGAGTGCATGGCTAACGCAACGGACCTTCATTTTGAAAAACCGCCCCCCTCCCGGTCCGAAATTCTGGGACCGCCACTGCCGTGCTCCTATAGTGATGAAGGTAGATTCCTAATTCGCTCCATACTGAAAAACTAAGTTGAAACCAGCTTTACAAAACGGAGCTCGAAGCTCCTCGAAAGACTTCTTGACAAGAGAGATCAACAATCAAACAGTAGGCGCATTTTTTGGGGTTCCCTGTACGTTGCGAATTACCTGTTCACCGCATACTTTCCGAATTTCTTCTCTACAACGCTGTTGTATTTCTTGATACTTCGCTAACATATACAACGTAATGTGAAGCACCGCCGGAGTCGTTTCGAAACCAGAATGAACATAAAAGCCTAAAGAAAAAATGTGGAAACTTTAAGATTACTTCAAACGCAGCTCACCTGTCCAAGAATATCACCTTTTGAGAGTCCTTTGTGCACATCACAAAACTCAAACTCGATCTCATGATCCTTCGCTCTCTCCTTATCATTCTCAACGAGGCTTTCGAGAAGAATTTGGAAAAAGTCATTGTATTTCTGAAAAACTCAAAAATTCGCGGATTAGGTGCAGAGCTAATCTATTTGCGTTATGACCTGCAATCTTAAAATACTCAGAACTCACTATGGGATTGCATGGGCTCATTTATTTCAGTTTGTAACTTATGAGGTAAGCATGCTTAGTCGGAGAGGCCTTTTCAGATGGAATGTGTACGATACTGAAGAGCATAAAACGCTGATTCCCAGTTTGCTTTCCTAATATGCGGAACATCTGTCGAGAAGTTAAGCGTTTTGGAGCAAAAAATTATTGTTAGATTGTTGCAAAAGTTCTGTCGTTTCATTTTCAAAAATTTGTAACTCCGCGAAATTTCAACGGATTTACTTGCTTGTAACTTTATTAGAAAAGAATAAGTCTTTCGCTTTCAAATGCTGTTCCGTGGAGCTTCTGTTTCATACTGGGTGAGGAGATAAAAATGGGAAACTAAGACCATATAAGCTTTGACCATTTTAAGTTAGGTCACCAGAAATCTGGAATGCTGCAGAAAAATCTGAAATCGTCAGTACATATGTTTTTCGGCCTACCCTTTGCATCTGTGAAGAGTTTGTGCTGTTTGGACGTCTCTGTGAGAAGTTATGATTTTCGCGAAAATTGACAAATTAATTAATTTTGGCGTTTTCCATAGCAAACTCGATATTCATAACTTCTCACAGAGACGTCCAAACAGCGCAAACTTTTCACAGATGCAAAGGGTAGGCCGAAAAACATATTTACTGACGATTTCAGATTTTTCTGCAGCATTCCAGATTTGTGGTGACCTAACTTAAAATGGTCAAAGCTTATATGGTCTTAGTTTCCCATTTTTATCTCCTCACCCAGTATGAAACAGAAGCTCCACGGAACAGCATTTGGAAGCGAAAGACTTATTCTTTCTAATAAAATTACAAGCAAGCAAATCCGTTGAAATTTCGCGGAATTACAAATTTTTGAAAATGAAACGACAGAACTTTTGCAACAACCTAATAAGAGTGCACTTAGAATAAAATGAGTTGTTAAAGTCTCACTAGCCCTCAAATAAGGCAATCAAGAGTGATATATTTTCTTAATCATTATTATTACTTTATCTTAGAGCGTTTCTTGAATAAAGGGTCCTGTAAATTATCATTGCTCGAATGAAGAGCTGGAAAAGTCATAACGGCTATTTTCGTCTACTTGCACGTTTGATTTTTTGCTCCTATAAACGCTCATAACTCCTCGTCCATAAGCGTTCAGCAAATCAGGAAGGCAGATTTGAAATCAGCTCAGCACTCCAATATTGTATACATCCCATCTAGAAAGACCACTTCGCGTAAAGATGCTTTCCCTTATTAGGCAAAATTAGCCTCAGCCTATTCGCTCAAATCTTATTTGTCTATTTTTATAGTCTCGCTGCCAATCGATAATAATTTTACTCAATGAATGAGTGCGTCCGCCCTTCATCACTGAGTCTGTTGATACCCTCCGCAACAATGGATATGTATGAACTCACCAGATTAGTCCCCTTTTTTCTTTCTTCAAACAATTTTTCGAGCGCATTCAGGAAGAACTTGTTGGCATCATTGTTGAGGATGGAGATGCCAGTGATTTTTTGGAAAGCAGTTGCGACATTTGGGAACAGAACTGAAAAAGGAACAAAAAACCCAATGACGACATCAATTTAAAGAAAAACGTTATTTCAAGATTCTTTGCATAAAACTTGTCACTCGATTTTACAAAATCTAATACTGGCGTACATTGGAGGTCTACATGATTTGAAGTAGGTCAAAAAAAAGGTTGAAAGAAGAAAGAAAAGACTTCAAAATTAATATCCCGTCCAATGAAGCCAAGGTCTTCAAAAGTGCATAAAGCCTGAGAACTCACTAACAAATGTTACTTCCGGCGCCCTCAGATCGAATTCAGAAAATTTCTTTGCAAAATGAAGAAAGAGTGACGACGGGTTGCTTTGCACATCAAAATCGTAACCAAATGCGCATTTTGAAGTCATATCCAGGGTAAGGCGAGTTATTACACTCAAGCTAGAAGTTTTGAGAGAGTATTTAAGTTTGAGTTACGAGCAAAAACTCAGTCTCGAATGGCACCGGCATTCCTTCAACTTCGTATTTATCGAGAATACTTGCGCAAATTCTTGCGCATTCGTTGAAGATTGGTATCATCTCAACGATTGTTCTGATTTTCTTTCAGCTCCAGTAGAATTCCAACCATTTTGATTTTTGCTGTAGAAAAAGCAGGAGCCACCTGGCTGCGAACGCTAGACCAATGCATTCCTTTTAGCGACACCAACGAAGTGGCCAAAAGAGATTTTTTATCAGAGGGATCAACATTCAGTAGGTTTTGAATGGAGCATAAATTGAACCTTTCGTTAAGTAAGCGAATAACTCTGACCGTTCTATCCGTAAAGTGGTCAAATCCCTTGACAAGCACTTGACGCAAGATATTTAGATCCATGGATACCAGCTCCGAAGCTGATACAAGAAACATGCTGCAAAACTAGGGCTAACACGAGAAAAGTGCAGGCAATTATCTACCACCCGTATGTCTTGCCATAGGCGGCAATAAATCTTTCATCCAGCACATGAAGTCCCTTCTCGTATTCGAATGCATTTCCAGTCAGAATGTTAGGGCTTGGACAGGAACTCCCTGTCTTTTCCAGTAAGTCTTTCCGAAGACAAGATAACTGAAAACTGTAAATACAGAATATGAAATGCAGATACACCGATAATTTCAAAAGAATTTCTTTTTGTTCTGTGTGATTCAAAGAAGTCGTTCTTCAGTAGGGATGGCTTTTCTGCACAGCATAAACATACTAGTCACTACTATAGTAACATTATGGGCTTAGCACTTACGTAAGTTCCCCAATAGATAAACCAAAAACACTTCTTCTTACTAGGGCTAGCAGAAAAGAGTCGAAAGTAGAATGGAGGAGGTGAATTAGGGAAGAAAGTTGATGCAAAGAGACAAGTCTTATTTTTGAGACTGAAATTTCCGAAAAGTTCATAACTTCATGTTCCCGAAATATTCGCCTTTTCTGAATGTCACAAGGTAGATAAGCTGCCTTCAACAAAATTTACCCAATTCCTGCCCTGAAAATGAGTTGTGTATTCTCTCTTAGCTGCCTTCAACAAAATTTACCCAACTCCTGCCCTGAAAATGAGTCGTGTATTCTCTCTTAGCTGCCTTCGAAAAAGCAGTTCGTTAGGCGCTTGCTGCTTGGGGGTGCGGAAAGATACTTCCTTGCTTTCAGTTCGACAGGCAACCCAAAATTCGAATGGGTTCTAACTTCAGAAAGGGTAAAAAACGTCCTTAAGGACGATTTTTTTAGAAAAAAAACGCTTGCTCAATCTTAAATAGTATAAGCTTGTACAGGACGGAAGTATCGCGGAAGCTCAGCAGTTCCGAATTTTTGCGAAAGTCATGCGGGAATTGGGCAATAGGCAAAAACAGTAGAAGCAATAAGCGAAGGCCACTCAAATTTCTTTATGTTTCTTTATGTAAAAAGAACGTCGCTCTATACTTTCCATATCATAAAATTGTCGTATATAATGTAGTTTATATTGTACTTTTGATACCTACCATATCTATATCGGACTTCCTACCCATGACGGCTAACGCTGCAACAGTGATGAATAGGCCAAGTGCGGTGACGAAAGAGTACAGCTTGTACGTGAGATAAAATGCAATAACCGAGAGGGCAGCATACTCATCCAATCCTGGGGCTACCATATCTTCTTTGCCTGTGTTTAAAGTTGGCTTAACAAATATACAACCCCCCTCCCCCACTCTCCCCCAAAACCTCGTTGCAAAATTTTATTAGTAGCCTACAGTGAGCATTGCAAAAAAAATTTTCCGAGCGTGGTTGGTGCTGCGTCATCTTTTCCTGAATTTCGCAATTATAAGCCGCAAAAAAATGGAAGCACCCAGAAAATTTCGAAAAGCGTGGCCGCTTTTCGGAGAGGAACTTTTCGGACTGCTACTGATAGAAACTAAACAGAAACGTCATAGTATTATTTTTAAAGCATAATATTCATCTGAAAACATGACAGAATCTATCAGCTGGCTATTGGTTACTGATATCATTGTGAAGATCTCCAGCTACCGTAAACCATTGATAATCTTAAAAGTACTATGTTGGTTAAAACAGTTCATTTGAAAAAAATTTATTTTCTCCGATATTGTAACAATACAAAAAGATTCAGAACTTACCACAGTTATAAGATACTCAAGGCACCAGTCACCTTCGAAAGTTTTAGCAAGGGCTAAAAAAACAGAAAAATGGCATATGTGAGTAATTATGAGAAAATAAAAGCTGAGTATTAAGGTCTTCATCTCCTGACTGAATATGCTAGATCTAAATCTGTCCTCATTCAATGCAAGCAGTGAGGAGACTAAGACCTGATCCGGACATCTTTTACTTCCTTTTACAGCAAATGAAGAATATTCAACGTTTCTGGTGATGATATAAAATTGTCAACAAGGCTCCTTTCCTTCTGTTCAAATTGACATTATTTCTAAAAACTTTTATGAAATCTGCGTATTTTTATGCAAGCATTATCGCGACTACTGAACAAAAGTATAATTCAACGACTTCAAAGATATTGTACAAACTCTTCTTTGCATTAATTTAGCACTGCATTGAGATCTGATTTGAGAAAACTGCCGAAATCAATATCAAAAAGATTCAAAGGACGGAGAGACATCGAAAGCTTAATCGGTGTCCAATAACGCGAGCACGGCGCGTACATTCTACGGCCTCTCAGTCATGACCGAATTGTCTCACCCACTGCAATGATACAGGTGGTCTATGACAGACCAATATGACAGACCATCTTTGCATCAGCATTTTTGTACAAGAACGCATTATTAATAGCCAAAATTGGCTCGACGCACGCCTTTAAATTCTGCTTTTTAATTCTATGGCGCATCAAAGCTTTGGCCTCAAGTTACTGCAATTCCAAAGAAGTTGTGGTGTCGTGCCCTTATACGGCATTCATCTTGATTTTGTTCACGGTGAATTAGGAACATCTCCACTCATTTGCCAGTCGCTTTCGTTTCTCAATGTTGACTTTTCTTTGCGACGATTTTCCATTTTGCTATTCTTGTCATAATCTTCCAAACTACTATCAAAAGGGATAGCTGTCTCATCACGCAGAGTCTAGGTCGCTTTTGTGACTGCTACAAGTATTGCAGACAAATTTTGTGTCCAGCGTTTCACCTCTGAAAAGTGCACCTCAACGAGTCCACATTATTATCGATATTCGCTTAGTAGAGAAACATGTCTAAATTCATCAAAAGAATATAGCTACATCCATAACAGTATGAGGATGAAACTTAGAAAGTTGGGCTTGAGCTTTTGAATTTGGTCATTTTAAGGCATAAGTGTCCTTTATTGATGATAGAGAGTTTTGAGCTATTGAAACGTGATAGAAGAAACTTTTAAGCACTTTTCTTCAAAGATTCTCATTTAAAAAACAGCAAAAAAACTTTTCTTTCCACTTTTCTTATGCAAATTTGCATAAGCGAAGTTCTTATGCAGATTTACGGCGGAAATTATCTTTTAACCAGCCTAATTTTTTGTTCGCTCAGAAGATTGTATCTTGTTTTTTAGAATCTTTATTCCTGTATTTCCATCACAGCTCGAGAACGAAGCAGAGAAACTTGTAGACCTGAGCTTTTCAAAATTTTGCAATTTTATGTCATAATTGTCTTTTTGATGGCGGAAATTTTTGAATAGCTGGCACTTTATAGTATTAGGTTCTGTCGTCTTGAAAGTTGGTTCGCATCATGTTCATTCATAACTTCTAATTTTTCTAAAGGATTTGCACATAGCCGATTCTTTTAGAAAGAGGAAACTTAGCAATGGCACCTGGATGGCCTTCTATCCTTCATAGAGGGAAATAAGCTGCAGATGAAAATTACTCAAATTTCCATTTTGCTTGCAAAGTCGTTTAAAAAATTTAAATCTTGCGCTCAAAATCGGAGTAATTGGTGTTATAAATTTTAGGACTTGCTGTTTCTAAATGAACAAATTGGTGTTGATGGAGAGGTCAAACCAAAAGTTATTATTCTCAAGGGAAATGCCAAAATAAACATATGTCATTTGTATTCGTATTCTATAGCCAATAACCAAGATTGTGCATACGCTTTATTCAGTCAGGCCTGACTGAATAAAGCGTATTAACAATCTTGGTTATTGGCTACAGATTACGAATACAAATAACTACCTCATGCTAAGATTCATCGATAATTGAGCTTGGACTTCGATTGAACATATGTCGTTTTGCTGCTTGAAAAAATTATAACTCTTTCAGAAGAGCTCAGTCAAAATAATCTTTTCATAGACGAGCACAATCAAAACGAGTTAAGGTAGAAAGAGCAGGTTATATAATTTACGAATTCTTGGAAATTCAAACGAATTTTAAGGACGATTTAATAGAAGTTTGAACTCTTGCCCTCAAAAAATCGTGGAAGGACCATCAAAGGTTTTTGGAGATTCAAAAACGAATCAAAAATGACATCATTTTCGGCGATTTTAGTCTGAAATAATTGATTTGTGATCGCAAAAATCGTCAAAGTTTCAAACCCAGCTTTTTTGAGCTCTCCGCTTTTGCCCTATTTATAACAAACTAAAAGCAAAGCAAACTTTGCAAAGCGCCGTTTCTGCGCAATCTCAAAGTGACTTTCTGAATTTTTTAAAATAATGTTTTGAACTCTTCTTACATGACTTTCAAGAAACTGGGCAAATTCGCCAAGGACGCGAAGGTATAGAAGAAAAATCATGCCGCAACATCATTAGTTATTATTTATTTCCCGTACATGCTACCCCAATCATCGTTGGTGAGTCAGAGATTGAAGCCAAAGATAGGCCTGAAGTGTACTATTTTGTAGCAATGCTTTACTGCCAAATAAAAAACTAACTAAGTATTAAGGTTGACTGCACCAAATCCCCCACGTCGTTGTAGGCAGAACGCCCGCCAGCTTGCCTGCAACGCGCCTACAATAGGCGGGAGCTATGATGACTTATGCGCGAGTGCCATGCTTAGCCCCAAGAGACATCTCGCGAGCGCTCAGCTTGAGCGATTGCGTGCAGTCAACTGCACTAGTATAGACTATACTGTGTAGTGTTGAATATTTGATGCGAACAATTTATGCTGCTATCCCCACAACGATTCATGGACAGCATGTAGCAAATGAATGTCAAGCACTTCACTTCTGTTTCGGTTCGTCCTTTTTGTCATTTGGTGTCTTCGGTGCAGAACTTGCGGGGCCGAATTGAAGACATATCAGCAGTGCCTAAAGATCTTTCGTCATTTCTCTAGAATTCTGGATGAAAATGCGAACTGTACCATAACAATAGCCTTCCAAAACAGCATCGTTTGGCAATTTCAGTTGTTGTTTGCTAAAATACAATCATTACTGTCTCCAAAGCTGATATGACCCATTTATGCAAAAAGACGAGCTCTTGAAAGCTTCATACAATAAAAACACCAAAAACAAATGTGCTCTGTACCGATGTCCTAGACGACTGCTTTATATGCATAATGCTGACAAAAGATCTAATGATATACACTACGCTATTCTTAGGGTAAAATCGTGTCAAAGCCGTGATAACGAAGAAAGAGGACTTTTGTGATATTCAGGCTTTATTTGATGATTTATCGAGAACGGAAATCTAATATATGCACAATGCTATTCTTTTGGTAGAGATAATGCCAGACCAGCCGTGGGATAAGAATAAATGATGAATCATTATTATTGTTTTCTATAAGAAAAAGATTTCGTAGCTCAAACGTTCATCGCTTCATTTGCGTAATTTTGTTACCTCCCAACAACTTGATCAGTTATTTGAAGGCCACCAATCTATTGGTCCAATTAATCCACTTGCTCCATTCAATTGCAAAACCGCGCCGGCACTGATCTGTCATTTGGCGTCGCGTAGTTCTGTAATTTCGTGGTAATAATTCTGCGCCCAGCAACGCCAAGTGACAAATCAGTGCCGGCGCGTTTAGCTTAGAATAGATAAAGTTGATAGAGTGGATCGCTTTCTTTTAAGGAAAGTCGACGTTGCTACTTGGTTTCCTGACAAAAAGAAGAAGAACAGATGAGAAACTAGTGTTCTGATCGGCGTGGGGAGACCAGCACAGGTTTACTGGTAGTAGCGAAAAGCAGAGTAGTACAATCAAGGCATGCTTATATAGAGGACACTCTCTCAACATTGTGAACTATCTCGTCAAAGCTGTCTTGCTGCAAATACTCAAACACTCTTTGATAATTGACGCATCCCATTATGAAGCTCGATGTGAACAGCGCAGCACAACAACATCAAAAAGAATCTCGCTGAATACATCACAAGCATTAAGCGATATAGAAGCAGATAAGCGACAAGAGTTTAGCATAACCATTTTGTATCGTTACAAACAGCCAGATTGTGTCCCAAAAATCTTTGAGCCTAATATTTCTTCAGCTAAAATTGTATGAAGCAACATAGACATATGTAGCGTGTGATTTGTGAAAAGCCTACAAAACAACAACGTACACTCATATCCCAAAGCACCCCTTGGCCCTCAAACTCTTGCGGAACGCATGCCGCGGCAGATAGGTTGGCATTGATTCTCATACTTTCTGAAGCACGCGTTCCGGACTGTCCAAATTTTTGAAGAGAGCAAGCCTTGCACTTCAAGACTGGTCACAAAGAAAAGCCAAGGGCTTCTGACTTGGCGATTGAA